CTCTTTCCCCGGCACCATGGCAGTTAAATTACGACAATTATTTCCCTCTGTCCTCCCCAAAACCAATTCTCTAAAGACTGTCTGTGTTGTAAAGACGACAGCAGTCCAAAAATCAGGAGTAGAACTTGAACACAATCCTGTACATTTTTTAAAGGAGGAAAGATTAAAAGTGTTACAGCATTAATTTCATTCACTTTTTGCTCACATTACATTACTTCCTTCAAGTAGAATACACAGTAAATACTACATATCTATACAGAGGAAATTAGGACTCATTTTTTGTTCTAGTCACAGTAAATATGCTTAAGTAGGCATTTTTTTCTCTTTCAGACTTTCAATCAACCACTCAAATTTTCTCAGTTTTCTTAAGAATGTTACATTGTAGAAGAAAAAACAAACAAACAACAAAACACCCCAACTTTGCTAGATCATTCTTCAAGTACGAGGCAGCAAGAAGGACAGTGGCATCAGTGATTTCAAAGAAGTTCTGTGAAGAATGTTTTTAAGCTGCAATCTGCTTACTGAGTGACAAGAAGTTTGATGATATTGTACCAACACTTCCAAATTACAGTTTTAGCTTAAAATTTTGGTCTCTGATCCCTGAGAAACTCTGTCTTCAACTCCAGCTTTAGATTACAGTAATTTTATTTAGGTTAATGTAAATGTAAAACATTGTTCCTAGTTTTGCCATTCCTCTCATCCCAATCTTCCAGTGACTGATGCTAGAACCCTTCAGAAATATTTTCTTATTTTGTTAAGATCCTAAGAAAAAACAGTTTGATTTACAAGTCAAGAGCTATACTGGGATGCTAAAACCCAAATATAATTAAACCCAGGTGAAACTCCATGATAGCACAAGTCTAGAATGACTGCATGGATACCTTTTCCTCCTCTGGAAAAGACTTTAGGAGCTCATCCCACTACCCAAAACAGACTTTCATTAACTATACTTCTATGCCACGCAATTTCGGACAAATTTATAAACTGAACAAATACGGGACAGGTAAGAGGTGCAGGTTAGAATGAACAACAAACAGTACTCCTGCAACCCCAGGAAATATGCTTTCAGTATTCAGCCCAGAACATAGGTCTCAGTTTGGGAGACTGATGGATCTCTCAGAAGCTGTTGAGACACAACTACCTAAAGTACTTCACTTGACCTTGGTTCTTTAAAAAGAGTAAAGAAAACTACCATCATTTATTAAGTGTCCAATCAAACCAAGAACTGTATGTATATATACACAATATACCAAATGAATTAAAAGTCTCTCCTTATACTATTTTACATTTATATAGCTACTTCAGTAAACGAGAGCATGACGAAACTCAAAATTCTACAAACTTCAACATTATGTGGCAACCCAAACCTATTTTTTTAAGCATTCTTCTACCCCTCAACCAGAAAGAATGGGAAATCTGGAAAACACATAATGAAATACTTACCTTTTATTTACTTCCTCATCCATAAACTCTGTGGGTATGAGAGAGAAGTATTTCCCCATCTTCAGCCACAGATTAGATTTAGGGATCCATCCGTTATGTGCATGAATAGTATGGATTTTAGCAAGCTGTCTGGCAATGAGTCTAAAAAAAAAGTTTAAATTAATGTTATATTTGCAATAGATCTGACAGTCTTTATCATATTTTTCCCAGCCACAAGAGAAGACAACTACAATATATTTAATAGAAAAAAGGTAAAAAAAAATGCAGCAAAGGAATCCAAAGCGGGTTTAAATCAGAGCAGCACAGCTATAGTGTAGCATCTTTAAAGACTCAAAAGGTCATTAGAAGCACTTATTTAAGGGACAGGAGGCAGGAGGGATTGGAGTTCAGTTACAGCATGCATACTGCACCTGTATTTACAGTCTACTCTTCAGCTTGCTCAGCTGCCATTGTTAGGCAAAAACATTTCAGTGCATACATGAAAAGCTAAAATCTTAAGACATCAGCACTTTCTGTTCACTGCTAAGTTTAAAAAAATTATGGAAAACTATCTTGAACCTATTCACAAAAGGAATGTATTAAAAACAGAGCTAGGAGTACTTGCTTTAATGAAGTCCAACCCCCTACAACTCCACCATGTTAAACGATCTCCCTAATGGTAATATGTTAAATACTCACAATAAGCAGACCTCTAATGAGTATATAGTCTTCTGGGGAGGCAGCAAGGATCATTTGTTCAGCACTGAAATACCATGATAACTAAGATAGAGGACAGTGAGCTGTCAAGAGTGTGAACATCAACTTAGTGCAGGCTTATACTAGTATTTCTTTTCTGCCTGCTCATAAACTAAGCTCGAGATCCTTTGGGCCTGACAGAACACCATAAATGCATCACAGAACTTGAATAATGAAATAATTTAAAAAATAAAAAAAATAAAAAGCTTACCTGAAAATATCTGGATTGCATACATGCTCTGGATCCAGTGCTTCTCCCTGCATGAACTCGTAGCACAGGCCGTTATTGAAAGTACAGTACAGTTGAGGTGCACAGCCATGAGCCTGCAACACACGGAAACTCTTCACTTCCTCATCTCGATCTACTAAGAGCTCGGTCTTATTTCCATAGATCCTAACTAGAACCACATCATCCGTTATGTCACCCACGTAGCAGCCAATTAGTTTATTGGTGATTCCATCGGTGAACAGCTGAAAAGTAAAAGTAATGCATAAGCAACTCAGATCTGCATCTGCATTTTCAACATACAGGAAAAGAATGCAGGGTTATTCTTTAGTTCACAAAACACAAACGTTTACTAGATTGAGCATTTACAAAAGAAATCTAAGATACAGGAAAAACATGAAGAAAATTGCAAGGATTTTTCCCACTAACACATGAAAAGAGAAGAGGAAAATGTGAAAACATGCTACAGTGAACTGCAGAAATATTACATGTAAAAGGCAGTGACTGAAAGCTTGATATTGTAAAATGAGTTTCCACATAACCACTCTGAAACTGATGGATTAAAATGGCTGAAATCAAAGCCCCAACTAGACAGCAATCCTAAACCGGTACGAAAACAGTCATGAATACAGGCAGCATGAAAACAAAAACAGTTTTTATGCACTCCAGAATTTCTGTATTTGCTGATCAGTGCACAGGTAGTAAGATGCTCCTGGAGTTCTAAGGTACTCCTTTTAAAAAGCAAAATTCAGGTGAGAAACACATCAAGTTCAGTGGTTATGATCATCCCACTAGCCTTGAGGTTTTACTGATTCAATTCCTAAAGTTGCTTTGGCTCCTCTACAAATTTGAGACAGTACTTAAAATTCAAGACCTCATTGTCCCAAACAGGGCTCGTTTACCCGCTGTGCAATAAGCCAATCTTCACACACTGAGACAAGGTATTGTTTTATCCTCAAAGTTGCACAAGTTTGGGTGCAAGGTGGTAATTCCACAAAGCTAGCACACTTACCAGAGTTTTCTCTAACATTTATACATTACAATTAACACACCACACCTATCTACTACATAATCATTAAATTAGCTAAGCATACTTGCCTCTTACTGGTCCACATCCTCTTCGCTTAAATTTAAAGGTACAGTATGATTTTAACTTACTATGCATGCTCAAGTAGAGTGTGTGGAGGGTAGTCTTTCTAGTTTTTGAGTCAGTGGTCACTATCTCCCCATGCTGAAATTACCTTTCCCCTACTTTCCTTCTTGGCAGATCCTTAGTAACTCTCCATAGTTTACTAGTCAAGATGATAATAATACATCACCTTGTGTCCTGTTCCTGGACAATTTGTCATTAGCAGTCTATTAACCAAAAGCGCAGATAGGGTAGGGCCTTAAAATGGATATTCTATAGTAGCATCAGCTTTGGATAAAACCCCAGTCTTCAGCCCCAAGTACCATTCCAAATTTAGAAGCTGACAAGACCCACCATCCTCCCACTTTACTTCATAACTGGTACATGCCATTCAAAATATTACAAAGGCATTTAAACTCCTTATCATTAAGCTGTATATAAAAGCAATTTTTAAAGCCCTGAAATTTACTAGACTTTGACCAGTGTCATCACTGATGCCTGAACATACTGAAGATGAAGCAAGTAACTTTCTACAAAAACAAGAGTATTATTTGAGCATTACATTTACATCTAATGACAACCTACTCACTGCCTTTCAAATAATGATGGAAGTATGAATACTACAGGTTCCTAGCTATGGAGGATGGGGGTGAAGGGGGACACGACAGTGGGGGACAGGGACACGCCACACCAGAAGAACCCCACTCCTTAACTGCTGCTTCTCCTTTCACATTTGATCATGAGACCTAAAATAGTTATTATACAGGCTGAATTCTTGCAGATGCTACCTGACAAGCAGACTACAGCCTGAGTTACTGGGCTGTGCGTACCCAGTTGCAGATAGCCGAGCATTTGAAATCCCGCTCAATGCCTGCAAGAGTAACACAGCAGTTCTTGACCTCCTCCTACAAACTGGGACAGTTTTACAGCTCAGAAAACAGTTGTTTGGCACTTTCAAACTCTCTGCACTCTGTTGACCCAGACCGAATGCTTAAGAACTTGCTAGATGAGCATTACCCACACTAACTGTAGCTGTTAGGTAAGTGACTGAAAGGCAAGACATTAACATGCTCAGGTGACAAGCAGCATCACAAGCAAGAATGGCAATGTTTTCATAACTACTGAACAGCCTCCTGCAACCTTAAGCATAAGCAGTAAACAATTTAAAGTCAAGATTCTCACAGCAACTATATTCAAGTATAATTTTTTTTTTTTTTAGTGGTTACAGTCATACCTTTTCTCCCACTCTGTTGCCCCCAAAAAGCTAATTAAAACTCAATTTAAAAAGAACGAACTCTCACACAAAGCACAAAACCTCCTTTCAGGACTCTGCACTAAAACGAGTGAGCAGCAGGAAGTAGCTTCAAGTTGGTTAACATACACAGTTATACATTCACAGTCTTCCCTTGGGTGGACATCTTGCAAGTTTAATTTGACACCTTTCTTTAGGAAGTGCTTTTATCATTAGTTCTCATTTAGTTAATTCTTCTGGCATACACACAAGAGACAAATGGAGATACAGTCTAAATACCTTTATTAGAACTTTTTCAAGCTATGTAGGCCCTTGAAGCTGCAAGCAGCTTTTATTTAAAGGCAACCTGAAAACTCTGGATAGAATTTTTTAAATTCATAATTGTAATACAAGTCAGAAAATCAGCTGAAAATTGAAAACTATTTATCAGAATTAGAATACTAAGTATTCAATGACAACAATTTGAATTCCTTATTCAGACATCATCTTCCCACACACCTTTTCTCCCTCAAACCCTAAATCAGGCCCAGAACAAAAATACTGACAAATTGAGAGGTCTGTTGCATTTCAGACCTTATATTAAACATCAATGTTTAAAGAAAAAGTACTTTTTTTTTGTCAACAGGCAACTTCTCTATAGGCATCATCATTCCTTAGAACCTTGGACAGCTTTGTTTTGTGGGTTTTTTTTTTTTTAAAAGTCAAACACAATTCAGAAACTTTGACTTCCCCATCCCCTTCCAAGAGGTAGTCTTTGTTTTGAAAAGTAAAGTAGTATCATTCAAACACAAGTGACAGCTTATTTCCACATCTCAGGGATTTGGAGAAGTCAAGCATCAGGAACTACTTTTTTTTTTTTTTAATTCACTGTGGAAGATGATGTATTTTAGCTATTCTGCCTTGCTTTCCTCAGCACCCCTATGCTATGAGGTGAACAAACTCAACAAGAAATAGCTCAAGGTTCCTGAGGAGAGGTGCAGATAGCAGAGGATATGAAGGTACTCCATTTTCTTAGACAGTTATGAACACTTAATCTTGCAGAAGTAGGTTTAGCAAATCACATACCTTTCATCAACATGGGGCAACCATAAATTCAAATAAACCTGCTTACAAAGCATCCTTGATTGATTCAAAATTAAGACTTTGCAATTTATGGGCACATATTATTACTAGCTATTACTTTAATAACCCATAATAGGAGACAAGTAACAAAGAATCTTGTCTTAAACAGTCTTCACAGCAACTAAATATTACAATGTTAATCAGTGCAACTAAGAAAACTATCTGTTTAGCATCATAGATACTGGTTTTCACATTAAAATGAATACAAGGGTACTCTAACACTACCCTATTCTTTTGCTTGACACTTAAGCAGATGTTTTAAGTTTTCTCTGTGTACATAAGCATATGTTTGCAACAATGCACATGCTGTATCAAGAGAAGGATGATGTGTTTGAGCCATCTTATACAATTTGAACAAGCAGTACTTAAATGTGTTTCAAGTATGGCTTGTAAATCACAAATTACACCTTTATGTTATAATGTATTCATTCATAACCTTCCCCCTTATAGGTGTATTGTCACAGAACTATTTAAATCAGAAGGGACCTCCTGTGATCATCTAGTTCAGCCTCCCTGCTAGAGCAGGGCCAAATAGAGCCAGTTGCCCAGGACTGTGTCCAGTGAAATCTCCAGGAATTCTAAAGACTCTGCAACCTGCTTGGGCAACCTGTTCCAGAGTTTGACCACCCTCATGGTAAAAAAGTGTTCTCTTGTGTTCAGATGGAATTTCACATGTGTTTTAATTTGTGCCCATTGCCTCGCCTACCACTGGGCACTGAGAAGAGCCTGGCTCCCTCCTCTTCATTACCTCCATCAGGTATTTATACATATTGATAAGACCCCTGCAAGCCTTCTTTTTTTCAGGCCAAACAGTCCCAGCCCTCCCAGCCTCTCCTCATACGAACAATAGTGCAGTCCCTCAGTCATCTTCATGGGCCTTTGCTGCACTTGCTCCAGTGAGCCGGTATCTTTCTCACACTGGGGAGCCAAGAACGGAACACAGCACTCTAATATGGCAAAACAACGTATAAGTACTAATTCTCATACATTCTAGTATAACTCATTAAAAAGTTTAAAGAATACTTTGCAGAAGTAGTGTTGAGCCATTGATCAAGTTAAAAAGTATCTTGCCTGCCACACATAAATGAAAACTTCTGAAATCTAACATTAGAAAAAGCTCTTATCCTGTCATTGCAGGACCGAAAGAAAACTGAAAGTTCTGTTCAAATAAGAGCGATCAAAACCAGTAAGTATAAAATTCACTATCCCCTCTGAAGAAAGAGAGGTCTATTGTCTTTATTGAATGGCAAAGGCAGCAAACAAAATAGGTAATCATTCCCAACACACAGTGGCACCACTTCAAATCACTGGAGCCTGTGCTACCATTTTCTACTTCTTACAAAACAACTCTCTAATGAAGCTTGCCTTTCTCTCTATACAAAATTGTACTATAAAAAAGACAAGGCTCTAAGGTCATCAGAAATAGTGATACTACCAAAAAAACCCCAGACTTTAAGTAGTACTGATGCAAATAAACAGTAAGAATTTGTTTTGCTTATTCTGTTAAACAGAAACTTCTGGCCACTGTACAGGTTTTGTCATAGTGCACAGGTCTATTATCCCCTTAAAACAAGTCTCATTAGTGTTAATAAAAAGAAATCTACAGCAAGGAAATTGAACTCCCTCAACTGATAATTTAGGAACTCTACTTATTAGCATCTATTTGTAACATGCTGCTATAAGTAATTATTTATACCCAGGAGCATTTTAGTTATTGCTTCTTAAAAAGGCAGAAGGGTTTG